CGGGTGCGGCGCGGGTGGGAGGGAAGGTGGCGGCGAGAGGGAGGGCGTGGGCGGAAGCGGGACAAGCGGCGACGGCGGCCTCGGGAAGAGGCGGCGGCACCGGCGTCCGAGGTGGTGGGGAGAGGCGGCGGCGACCAGCGGCGGCGACGGCGACCGTGAGAGAGGTGGTGGCGGCGGCGGCTGGTGGCGGCGGCGGCGCGTAGAGGCGCGGCGGCGGCCACGGCTTTAGGGTTAGGATCATGCTGCGATAGATACCATGTAGAAGGGCAAGTTATGGGCTGTGCAATCTCAATGTATTGATCGGTGCACCAGGCATGTATATATAAGTAAAGAGGTGGGCCACAACCTCAACTATACAAAGAAAACAGAAGATAGACCCTACACACAAATATACACGTACACAGTATACTCAACATTCCTCCCTTGCATCACCCACCCAGCCCATGAGCCAGCGCCCGAGCTCGTGATTGGAAGCAATCCCCTCCGGTGGAGTCATGGTCTCTAGGCTTCTCCTCTCGCCCAACTCCCTCCAGAATCCGTGTTTGTCGGTATATATTTGTTCTGAGAAGAGCATTTCCTGACCCTCGAGGTATTTTATGCGAACAAATACGTATAGTAAACATACCGAAACAAGCTTTTGCCTCGCTTTATATATAAAACAATGATTAACAGCATCCGATACAAGCGCACACCCTTACAACACATGCACACACACATCCAAGGAAGGATACATAAGCGCTGAGCGCAGCAACACCAATCCAAGCACTACACTAAGGGGTGAAGCCGCATATGACGAACTATGGGCTCCAAGTCGGCGCCTTTAGGAAGGGAACGACACCGGAGCGCCGCCGCCGCCCGATCCGAGAATCAGAGTTTCCTCTAGAGCAACACGATGGGCAATGAGAGCCGCGATGACGCCTTCGACAAGGGAACGAGTTTCGCCGCCGCCAGTCCGTCCGAAGATAGAGCAGGTTTTCACCCCGGCCACTACTCATCGCCACCGAACGCCATATGTATAATAAACATGAATGTACACATCACTCGAACGTGCATAAAAACGGAAATATAACATTCTAAAAAAAAGAAATATAAGTGCAAACCAAACCCACCACGTAACAAGACGTATTACCTTCACCACGAAAGACAAGCAATATTCATCCGCCGCCCTGAAAACAAACCAAAACCCCACCGTCTTAACCAGCTGCCGAATCTTTTCGTCCTTCACACTATCGTGGCCACGTATGTAACCTCTCATTGTTAACAACAAGGCATAATAGCCAAAATTAAAAGATTTCTCTAATATAGACATAGACCCAGATAGCTTGGGAATTGTCGGGATCTCTCGCGTCGTCCGCTCCAGCGCCTCTCGCATCGCCTCCCAGGCGGGCGGCTCGGGAGGGCACAGCCACCGCCGCCGTCTAGTTTCCATCCAGCTCCCTTCTCCCCCTCTGCCGTTGTCGATGGTCGGCGCTAGGCAAAGCCCATGCATGCGATGGTGGCGGCGGAGGGTCTCCCCTCCCTCTCCCGGACCCGCGACGACGCGGGCGTCCTGATCCACGGGGTGTGGCGCTCCGGGCGGTGTGGCGGATCCCGGAGGCGACGGGCTCGTGGCGGTGAACGGGTGCCCAGATCCATGGGTGTGGGACTCCCGACAGCGTGCGGGCTCCCGGCGGCGGCGGGGTCGGACGACGGCGGGTTTGGGCGATGGCGTCGGCCGCGCGGTGCCGGATCTCGTCGCTCGTGGCGGATCTCGCCACTCCGGCCTTCGTGGAGGAACCTGGACCTGGGGCGGCGGCCTCGTTAGGCATGGCGACGGCGCCCTCGGATGGTGACGTTCGCGGGGGGTGGATAGACGACATCTTGACCGCGTGGGCGGTGAGTTGTCGGTGGATCTCCTCCGCGTTGCAGGCCTTCTCCCGCTGCACTTGGTGGCTTACAATCACGGTCGTCGGTCCCGGTGCGTTGGCGGGGGCTGGTAGAGGTGACATCGGACCGGAGGAAACTCTGGATGACTCATTCATCCCAACGGTGGCGACGACCAGGGCCGCCGTTCTCCTACTTGCAGGCGCCGTCGAGGTCCCTGCCCTCTATCCTGACCCCATGCCGTGGTGGAAACCCAAAATCTTTTTAGATTGGGTGGCGGTGGCACTGCGTGTGTCGTACCCTTCTTGAAGGCACCGCTTGGGGCGTTTGGGTGCTCGGTTAGAGGAACTGCAGGCGGAGGGGATGGGACCAGTGCCAGCAGGTGGTATTCGCGACGGAGGAGCGGCGTGGCATTTGGCATGTCGACATCGATGGGTCTCAGTGGCATGGAGTATCAGGGTCTCGCCGGTGGGCGTGTGATAATGGACGAGCGCGGGATGGTGGCGTTGTCTGGCGTCATGGTGGCGTCGATGGCAACTAGACCGGGCAAGGTAGATGCAGTAGTACATCACTGAAGATGGATTGGTGGCAGGTGGCTGCGGCGGCCTCATACCCGGCAGGCGTCCTGGTTGAGTGCGCCGGACTGGTGGTTGCCCCATACCCGGCAGGCATCCTGGTTAGGACATCAGGTCTTAGATGTTAGGTTTGGCTGCGAGGTCTGTTTGGTATTAGGCCCAGACTATCAGCATCCCTTCATCAACTGGATAGAAGTAGCGACACATGTTGTCTAGACGGTGGCTTTAGTCTTACTGTTGTTTGACTTTATAAGGTCTTAAATGAATAATTAATAAAGTGGCTACATGCATCATGCAGATGCAGATGCCGATGGTCCTCCTCCTTTTTTTAAAAAAAAGCTTGAAAATTGTCATTTTGGGCTGCTGGAACCTTTGGATTCAGAGGAATGAAAGAATTTTCAGAAACTTGACTCGTTCCATTCAAGCCTGGAGGCTTGCTTTCAACGTTGATGGGTCTTCTTACCCATAGGATTCGGATCACACATGCTGTTTGTTTGCAGGAGTGGCTTTCAGTAAAATTTTAGAACTTTTTTTTTATGGTTCCTACAACTGGTATTGGATAATCATAGTCTGTTCATGCCTCGCCTTTTGTAGGTTTTTCTTCTTTTGCTCCTCCCTTCTGTACCATACTTTCATATGAGTTAACAGAAAACAAAATACCATAGAATAATCGATCTACGGTTCAGGGATAAAAAAATGAGAAAGAGAAACTTTGAATAGACAGGAGAGAGACAGAAATCCGGCGGCACATTTCTAGTTTAGCTTATACTCCCTCCGTTCCTAAATATAAGTCTTTGAAGAAATTCTACTATGAACCACATACGGATGTATGTAGATGCATTTTAGAGTGTAGATTCACTCATTTTGCTCCGTATGTAGTCCATAGTGAAATCTCTACAAAGACTTATATTTAGAAACAGAAGGAGTATATCTCTGCCGGCCTAAGAAATAACAATGTATATATGGCCTTCGCCATGATGGACATGGTATATCCGTCCATCGCCCTGAAAACCCTCCACTAACGACTCTTCTCATCCTTCACACCAGAGTGTTAACTTACGTACACCATCTTCTTAAGAAAGCGCACCTCCTTAGTCTTGTTGTTAACGACAAGACACAATAGCCAAATTAAAAGATTTCACTAATATAGATGTAGACCTTGATAGCGATATATTTGAGCAATAGTCTAGTGATTAGTTTCAAAGCAGGTATGTTGTCTAGCAACATGGGGAACTACATAATAGTCTGACACGTAAAGTGTTTTACCAAAAGTACCACAGTTAACCAAATATAAAAGGCAAACAAACAAGTTTGTTGGCACATTCCTCATGCCTAAAACGTACTCCCTCCGTCCCATAACATAAGAGCGTTTTTTACACTGAGGGAGTAGAAAAGAACAAACTAGTCTGCGGTTTCACGTGTGCAAGTGTGCACGTATTTCGTGTTCATGTTTGTAAATATATAATTGTTCAAAGAAGAGTATTTTGTTACCCTTGACGAATTTTGTGTGAAGAATATGTGCAGTAACTGTGCATGCATGCATCACTCGAACGTGCATAAAAATGGAAACACGATGTTCGAAGAAAAGAAAAGATAAAGGAAGCGGGGCCAAAGACGTGGAGGAGCCTGCGAACCGTGGCGAGGTCGTGAGAGTCCGGGTGGCAAAAGATGACCACATCATCGGCATAGAGGGATATGCTCGAAGCTGCGTGACGGTTGGTCAAGCGATGGAGTAGGCCAAGATCAACCGCACGCAGCAGCATGGAGTTGAGCACGTCGATGACCAAGGTGAAGAGCATGGGCGAAACCAGGTCACCCTGACGAAGGCCGTGAGCGTGATCGATTGGAGGCCCTGGGTAGCCATTAATGAGGACTCTCGTGGAACCGTGGATAGAAGCATGGAAATCCACTCACGCCAACGTGGGCCAAACCCCAGGTGCTGCAGAAGTTGCAGGAGGAATGGCCAAGAAACACTGTCGAACGCACGAGCAATGTCCAGCTTGAGAAGCATGCGTGGCGCCTTCAGGTTGTGCAGGAGACGAGCCGTCTGCTGTACGAGCAGAAAGTTGTCATGGATGCATCGCCCAGCAATAAACGCGCTCTGGTTGGTGGAGACCATGGTGCTCAGCCGAGGAGCGAGCCGGAGAGAGAGAAGCTTCGCGACCAGCTTGGCGAAGATGTGTATGAGACTGATGGGTCATTCATGGCGTGAAACTGAGACCTAGTCACACCCTAGGAAAATATGCAAGGCGAACAAATAAGTTTGTTGGTGCATTCTTGGTACCTAAAACGCAGAGAAGAACAAATGATTTTGCAAGTGCGTCTGGTAGTGCAAGTGTGCACATATTTTGTGTCCGTGTTTGTCGGTATGTAGTACGGGTAGAAACAAAGCCTGCCGGCCACATAAATTAGTGCTAATCAAAACCAAATGATTTTTAACCGCTCGTTGCGCATCGTTTTCTCCTTAACCAATCCCGCCGGCCTGCATGTAAAATAATAAAATCACGCGGGCCTGCATAAAACCCCACGCGCGCATCGTCACACTCCACAGTCCATGCGTCCATGGCCATCAGCCTGCTCTTCTCTCTTCTGCTCCGCCTCCTCGCCGTGCAAGCGGCTTCGCCCGGCAGCGTCGGCAACGGCAACGACGACGATGACGACAGCGCCCTGATGACGTCCTGCCTCGCGGCCGCCGGCGTGCGCAACGTCACCACACGCCGCTCGCCCGCGTACGCCGCCGCGCTCGCCTTCTCCGTCCAGAACCTCCGGTTCGCGGCCGCCTGTGCGCACCACGGTCCGGCCGCCGTGGTCGTCCCGGCGTCCCTGGCAGAGCTGCGCGCGGCCGTGCTGTGCGCCCGGGAGACGGGGCTGGTGGTGCGCCTCCGCAGCGGCGGGCACAGCTACGAGGGCCTCTCCTACACCACGGACGGCGCCGGCGGCTTCGTCGTCATCGACCTCGTGGCGCTAGACCGCGTTCGGGTCGACGCCGGAACGCGCACCGCGTGGGTCCAGTCCGGCGCGACGCTCGGCCAGGTGTACCACGCGGTGGCCGCGTCCAGCAAGACCCTGGCGTTTTCGGCAGGGTCATGCCCCACGGTCGGCTCCGGAGGCCACATCGCCGGTGGCGGGTTCGGGCTGCTGTCCCGCAAGTACGGGCTCGCGGCGGACAACGTGATCGACGCCGTTCTGGTCGACGCCGACGGGCGCGTGCTGGACCGCGACAGCATGGGCGAGGAGGTCTTCTGGGCGATCCGCGGCGGCGGTGGCGGCGCCTGGGGCGCCGTCTATGCGTGGCGCGTCAAGCTGAGCCCTGTCCCGGAGCGCGTCACCGTGTTCGTCGTGAACCGGCCCGGCACCGTGGAGTCGGTGGCACGGCTGGTGTCAACATGGCAGCACGTCGCGCCGTGGCTGCCTGACGAGTTCTACCTCTCGGCGTTCGTCGGAGCCGGCCTGCCGGAGTCGGACGGGACCGGCATTTCCGTCACCTTCAAGGGGTTCTACCTCGGGCGGTGCCAGGAGGCGTTGGAGATACTCTCCACACGGTTCCCAGAGATCGGCCTCGCGGACCTGAACCCGAGAGAGATGAGCTGGATCGACTCTGTGGTCTTCTTCTCGGGCCTGCCCGAAGGGAGCTCCACGTCGGACCTCACCGACCGGGTGCTCCACGACAAGAACTACTTCAAGGCCAAGTCGGACTTCGTGCGCCGGCCGACGCCCTTCGGCGAGCTGGAGGGAGCCATCGGTTTCCTTTCCAAGCAGCCCAAGGCGTACGTCATCCTTGACCCGTACGGCGGGGCCATGGACCGGATCGCCGCCGCCGACCTCCCGTTCCCGCATCGCAGAGGAAACATCCACGCGATCCAGCATCTCATTGCCTGGACCGCCGACGACGACGGCCAGAGACAGGAGTACATGGACTGGCTACGCCGGTTCTACGACCTCATGGGAGCCTACGTGTCCAACGGCCCACGCACCGCCTACATAAACTACCTAGACCTTGATCTAGGCACCAACAACAATGGCTCTCCTGCTCATCATCATCCTATAATAGGAGACGGCGACCAAGATGGCGGCAGTCCTCTCAACTCGGAGGTCGAGGCGGCGAGGACATGGGGCGAGAGGTACTTCTTGAGCAACTACGACCGTCTCGTCCGTGCCAAGACCACCATCGACCCGGAGAACGTGTTCTGCAATGCCCAGAGCATCCCGCCCCTCTTCGTGGGGGCTCTGCAGATGACCAGGCGTCTTGCACATGACATCTAGCTAGCTAGCCCAAAGTTGCATCGCACCAGCACACCGTATGACATTGTTGTAGCTACAGAGCCAAACACACTCTTACTTACAAAGTCCACTATATGTTGAACACGTAACGCAACGCGTAGACGAGTACCCTCGGGACGACCAGATTCTATGTGGTACCCTGTTCAAAGTTGCATCCAAACCAAATGGAAGAAGACATATGTCATAGGAAGGACATACACACATATCGTCACATTTTTTTAGAATATTGTTTATGTTGTATTTTTGCAATGTTGCTGTCGTGGTGCCGTCTACAAGGACGATTTGTTCTCTTTTTTGTAGAGGAAGGCAATTATGATTGGTAGATCCAGCGAGATGAGCTGAAAACGAGATAATTGTTTGCTACTTGGTGCTTTGCCGCTCTTCCCCATTGAAATGATATATAGGAATCACGTCCATCATCGATTGGAACTACTCGTTGAGTTCTGTTTCATGGTGATAATAACTATGGTACTATATCCACACAAGGATATTCTCTTCTTATTGCTTCTCTCTTTTCTT